TGTGCTTCGAGTTTTAGGAAATAGATCCGAATTCTTGTGGAGAAAAATAATCAAAATAAGTTTGTTTTTGTTCGCAAGTACTGTTTAGCATTTAAAGTCACAAGGTGACTCATGAAATTACATTTTGACTACTGCACTTTTTTCCTCTTTTTTTAAATTTATCATTTACAAAATCGAACGTATAGCATCATCTACTTCGTCAACAACTGTCAGTCCAACTACTTCCACGACACAAGGTGGTTTATCCAGAACAAACACGATGATGTCTTCTTCCACCGGAACAGCAGCGACATCTACTCAAGCATCAACAGAAGCCAGCTCAGTTATTGCTTTAACTGTGTCAACATCACTCTCAGCAACCGGAGGTTTGAATAACAGTCCACGGCTGTTGTTATATGAGATAATAAACTGTACTATCGACTTGTGGAGTACTGTACGTGGGCCCACAAAAACTTTTTATACTTCGGAGATTCACAGATACATTTATTTTTCAGTGGCATAAAATTGTGTCCGAAGAATAGCTGGGTCATGAGTCATGACTTGGACGTAATTTGGGTGCCTGGGAGATGAAACGGAAAATTCATTTTCTTTTCCGGACTTAAAGTCGATGCCAAATAAAATGAAAATTGAAAATATATCAGTTCATTCCTCATAAAGATGACAAATACAGCTAGTATCTCACTGGATTGAAAATATGATGAGGAAGTATTTTTGAATTACTGTATTATCAAAAATTCCATTGTCTAGCATCGTCTTTTGAATTTCAACTAATCGGGGGTTAATAATAATTTTGGGAGTCAATCTTTGAAATACTACAGCAAGTTTTTCTATTACACGCGCGAAATTAAAAAGTTTCAACGTTACATGGGTTTAGGAGTCAAATATTGGAGAGGAATTCCCAACGTCTTCTCCAAAAGCAAGACATTTTCACGACTAACAACTTCTCAAAATTTCCTATGTAAATCAGGATCAACGAGCTTGACATCCAAGCAATCCACAATGAGTGCCACAACTTCAACTGCGTCCATTTCCAGTGCAGCAAGTGGAACAACTAACATGCAGCAAGGGACAACAATATCCTCTATGATTGTGTCATCCACAACTATTACTGGAAGTACTACGTCGACAGCAAAAATCACTGAAATTTCTTCCGGCACAGGAAGTTCTTTAATTTTGAGTACGACTGAGCCGATCACATCAACTACTACAGCAGCAGGTGAACCAGGTGAGGCTCGATGGTTTGTCAAACAATGGCCCTGTTTTCAAGTTCGAAGAGGTCAGGTAAAATTCTTTTCTATTGATTAAAAAGCAAATCAAACGCCAAAATCGGCCAATTTGTTGAGGAAATTTTCAACTGCCAGGAACCTCTTATTCGAACCTGGATACACGTCATCCTTCTTTTGCATGTTCCAACTTGGGGCATTTATATAGTGGCATCTTGCATGCACATTACCTCGAAATATATACTGCAGTTCTTTTTTTACCAAGGCTTGCTTTTCAGGCCAATAAAAAGAAAATAATACTCAGGATGGTGAGTAAACATATTCTTTTAAAGTTTCGAGAAAGTAATAATGAAACGATTTTGGGTGTTTCTTCCTTCACGCAGTGTGGGCGTCGTCCATCGTTGCAAGAAATGCCCTCCATCT